CTGGTATGTTTTGTTTGTTTGCTGTTGCCTATCACACTGAGTAAAATACTCAAAGTTACTGTAAATGTGACGGTCGCCATTCTTCTTCATGTTCTGCAAGGCTTGTTGAAATCGCAAGTGTACCCAGAGACACCCCCCCCCCCCGCGTACACAACTGGCACTTCGTTGCTCTGACCGTGGTGATAGATTTGCAGCACAAAGCCGATTCCTTTTGTTTGATGGCACTTCTCAACGGGCATTCAGGCCGCATTCTGTGCTCACTTTTTTGGTGAGTGCGTGAGGATGGAAAGGAAAGGCTGGATTATCTTCCCTTTGCTTCTCTGTCATCATTGTAGCAAACAGGAGTCCCTCCTTCCATGACCCCTAGTGGATGCCTGACACCAAGGACAGTACTGAACCCGATATCTATGTGCTTTTCTATTCATACATGCCTGTAAGAAAGTTGAATTCATAGATAAGGCAGCAGAAGAAATTAACAAGTGATAATAAAATAGAACAATTATCAAAATATGCTCTTATAAAGTTGGAAGGATCATTACTCTCATATTTTACATTCCTATGAAGTAAAGTAAGGGCTCTGTCACATAAATATAGTAGTTCCAGGAAAGTCAATGTGATAATCTCATAGGCTACTAAGTGACCAGTGGGCAGGTAACTAGACAAAGGGATGATGTACATTCCAGAAAGACCAAGGACAATGATGCAAGATTTCATTGTGAGACGGGGTGGTGGTGGGGACACAGTTTAGAACTTAGGAGCTTTCTTTTCCTTCCTCTTCTTCTTCTTTTTGGTTTTTTGAGACAGGGTTTCAATGTGTAGTCCTGGCTGTCCTGGAACTAGCTCTGTAGACTAGGCTGGTCTCGAACTCACAGAGATCTGCCTCTGGCTCCTGGGTTCTGGGATTCAAGGTGTGCACCGCCACTGCCCAGCTGAGCGATTTATTTCCAGACTTTAGTAACCGAGGGCACTGCTACTCTAATTGGGAAGGCTTTCTTAGTTTCCATGTCTCTCAGAACTTCATTGCATGCTTTCTGCTTTGGGAACAAGCTCTAGTTCCAAAGGAAATTGTGACCTTTTCAGTGAGGTACCATTGCCACCACACTCTGTCCAGCCTCACTAAACTGTAGATGGGACTCCCTAACCTTCTGCTCCCTTTCAGTCATGCCGACCTCACAAGGGCTGTGGGGCGACTGGAATTTTACACTGTATGTAAATGAGGTTGGAAGAAAAGAGCTGCTACGATCCACACACATCTCCCCTGTTCCATGCTTATCAAAGTTGCTGCATTTGACTACAATTCTAAAAGGTGAGCTCAGAAATGAAATTATTAATAAGTTCTCTCTCTCTCTCTCTCTCTCTCTCTCTCTCTCTCTCTCTCTCTCTCTCTCTTTCTTTCTTTCTTGTGTTTTGAGATAGGGTTTCTCTGTGTATCAGCCCTGGCTGTCCTGGAACTCAGTCTGTAGACCAGGCTGGCCTTGAACTCACAGAGATCGACCTGCCTCTGTCTTCCGAGTGATGGGATCAAAGGTATGCACCACCACCTAGCTATTGATAAGTTCTAACAGTAACAGGTAGGCACTAAATCGCACACAAGCGAGCCATGCTCTGTGTACTGGAGATGTGATGAGGACGCAGACCCTATTAATAAGGTATTGTTTATGAAAATTCTCCTTGGGCTTAGGGGTAGGGAGTATGTAGTCTGTATATACTGTGATTGTCATCGGAGTTTGAGAGTTGCTGTCCTAAGAGAAAGCCAGGCTTCTCCCCTTCCTCTCCCCTGCAAGAGGTTGGAGCTTCCTATGGGAAGGGCAAAGTGGTTTGAGGTGCAACTGGCCTGAGGCCATTCCCCTCAGTTTGGTGTAAGTTCTTTCTCCATTCTTCCTTGAACCCTGCATCTTATGTGGCTAGTGGGACAAGATAGCCCAGGTCCCTTATTCTTTCTAACACTGAAACTGTGCATGTCTATGTAATACAATGTAATAATAATAATAATAATAATAATAATAATAATAATAGTAATAATAGAACATGTGTTATCTCAATGCCTGTTGAGGTCTGCGTCTTCTTTAAATGTCCTTAAGGAAAAGGGAAGAAGGAGTCCTTTTGTCTCCTATGCTGTAGGCTGCTTTGCTGGGATACATGAGTATTTAGTAACTCAAGAAGCAGGTTCTTCTCTGACTTATCTTTTTAATTACATCCTTCTCTTGGACATCTATGAACAGAGGCCAGGGTAACAGGGTGGGCTTCAAGGATCCAGAGAAACTTTACCACAACTGCTTTTGATGAATATAATAAGCCTTGAAATTGCCAGGCAGTGGTAGTACATGCCTTTAATCTCAGCACTCAGGAGGCAGAGGCCAGCCTGGTCTACAGAGCGAGTTCCAGGACAGCCAGGGCTACACAGAGAGACCATGTTTTGAAAAACAAAACAAGAAAGCCTTAAAATTATGGGTTTTTTTTTTACATTATAAAAATTGTATAGGTTGCACAGAGATCTGGGAGCAATTAGAGAATTATACATGAAAAAAATATAGTCTATTGCCTGTAATTCCATCATAAACACTGAATGTATCTTCTTTATTTTCTTCCATTCACTTTACATGTGGCAGTATATTAATTCAGTATGGGTCACCTGTGGTGATATTTTGTTTGTGCTCTAACAAATAAAGCTTGCCTGAAGATCAGAGGGCAAAGCCAGCCACTGGTTAGCCATAGAGGCCAGGCAGTGGTGGCACACATCTTTAATCCCAGCACTTGGAAGGAGGAAACAGGAAGTGATATGGCTGGGTGGAAAAAAAAAAGGAATATAAGGTGGGAGGAGACAGGAGCTCAGTCCTTTCAGCTGAGGAGTTGGTGAGGCGAGCGCTGGCTGTGGCTTTTTGTTCCTTTGTCTCTCTGATCTTTCTGCATTTACCCCTATATCTGGCTCTGGGTTTTTATTAAGATCAATTAGGATTCGTGCAACAATCACCCTCTGTCCCTTAGAGAGTACTGCATATGCACAAATCAGTCTCTGTCACATAGATATGTTCACACATGCACTTCAGATAAATTAATATCATTGGTTAAGGTAAAGAAGCTGTTTCTTGTATGTAGAAAATATCTCCTCCACTTCGATTTTCTTTTTAAAAAGATTCTTTTAAAAAAATTTGTTATCTATTAGTGTTTTCATGTATATTATTCAGACATGTATATTCATATACAGAATATATATATATTTATTTATTTATGAATAATACCTGGGTGCCTAGTTCCTGTGGAGGCCAGAGAAGGGTGTTGGATCCCCTGGACCTGTAGTTACAGAGGGTTGTAAGCCTCCAAATGGGTTCTGAGAACTGAACCTGGGTCCTCTGGAAGAGAAGCCAGTGCTCTTAACCACTGAGCCATCTCTCCAGCCCCCAAAGTCCTGGGGCCAGTGCTCCTAACCTGTGGTGATATTTTGTGTACCCTAATAAACTTGCCTGAGGCTCAGAGAAGCAGAGCAGCCAGCCACTAGTTCTTACCTCTACAAAATCCTCAGTCTAAAGAGAGTGAGTTCCTGTTTCCTCACACCTTATATACCTTTCTCTGCCTAGACATCACTTCCTGGGATTAAAGGCGTGTGTGCTTCCCAAGCAAATGCATGAGATCTCAAGTGCTGGGATTAAAGGTGTGTGCCACCACTGCCTGACCTCTATGTCTAATCTAGTGGCTGGCTCTGTCCTCTGATCCTTAGGCAAGTTTATTAGGGTACACAATATATCACCACATTAAACACTAATGATCTTTCCAGGCCCTAAAAGAGATTCTTGTTCCACATTGCACCTTTGTGATTATAACTCACACTCTCTCCAACTAGGAGATAGGAGAAATGTGAAGATGTCCTGTAGCTAGCATTAGCTCTTCACCAAAACAGCCCTGGCAGATGCTGTGATCTCAGCGCTCAGGAGGCTGGGGCTAGAGAATCACAAGTCTCAGCTCAGCCTGGGCTATATGGTGAATTCTAGGCCAGCCTGAGCTACAAAGCAAGCTCCCTTGTGCCGTGGCTGTCTGTGTCTGCCCTCTCCCCACAGTGTACTCTCTTTCCTTCTCCCTTCCTTTTCTGTCATCTTCCAGTCCCCCTTTATTCCATTCCCCTCCCCCACAGATACACAGTATCCAAATTGTAAGCACAATATGTGTTATATTGGTTAACCCAATGTAACCGTGTACACCGTTTTCTTTCTTTCTTTTTTTTTTTAAGTTAGAAAAGTCTTTAAGTTTTTAAATCAAAATTGCACCCTGGTGAAATGTGATTTTAATTTAGGAATCCAAAGGCAGGCTCTCCCGAGCTGTCGTCCTCTGATGCTGGACAGAGGCTGGGGACCTGTGGGACAGCCAGGACAGTAGGGACGGGACAGCCAAGCATGCACTCAGAGGTCAGCCAACTCTTCAGTCCTGTGGGCTTTGCACACCCAGCTGGGGACAGGGGGACGAGTTTTAGGGCCACCGAGAGGCCACCACCAGCAGAAATGAAAACTCCACCTACCAGTGATGGGTAGGAAAGTCCAGGATTCCAACAGGACCCTTCCGGGAGCTCCCTTGGAGGTGGGGGCGGGGCTTCCTAATGGCCGATGTGGCTTCTAAAGAAGGCAGCAGGTCACCTGGCTGCAAGCTCGCTTCATCTATGAGCACCCCTTTGCTCTCCCCCAAATGGGCAGAGGATTCGAGGCCCTTCCCTTCTGACCCCAGCACCCCAGTGTGCAGGCCCCACTCTCACATACATTAAATTTATATTCATATATATTATAGTTATATATTAAAAAGAGGGAAAAGACTTTCCCAAAGAGAAATTCCTGAAGAACCCAAGTGGCTCAGGATGTTTACTGTCTCGCCCACCCCACAAAAATTCTTTTAAAATCTTCCAGTGCGATCTTCAAGAAATCCCCTGCCCTCTTGTGTCCCCCCCTCCCCAGCCCTCCTCTGTGTCCCCCACAACCCTGGACTGCCCCCAGCTCCAGCCCAGTGCCATCCAGTCTCACTCATCTCTGGCCATCCATTGCTGTCACGGCTTTCTGCTGGGCGCCCCCCTGGGACGCTCCAGGGGGCCACGTGGGCTCTGGGCAGTGGAGATGATGGAAGGAGTTGGGGGAAGAGGGCGGGATCCAGGGCGCCTGGTGGCTGGGTGGGGAAGCGGCCCAAAAGGGGCTGAAGTTTGCAGGAGGGGAGCAAGCCACAGCTGTCATGGGGCTGTTGCTGTTCTGCCGGCCCTCAGAGGCTTGAAGCTTGGAGAACATGGCTAGCGCATCAGGGAAGTTAGGTGGTGTGGCAGGGGTGTTGCTGGGAGTACACATCATCTGCGGGTGGTGGTGGCTGTTGGGAATGTTGCTTTCTTGGAAGAACGTGCCCAGGGCGGTCTCGAACTGCCTGTGTGCCGCCTGCAGCAGCTGCTGCACCTGGTCCGCCTCGCAGCCCGCGGCCAGCGCGAACTGGTGGATCATGACTTGGTGCCACAGCTTGTCTGTGTTCATCAACATGGCGCTGGGCGGCCGCTCCGGGCTCGCGCTTGCAGCTCCGCAGCCGCCGCCGCCGCCGCCGCCACCACCACCACCGTTTTCTAAGTAGCGTGGTACCTTCTGGACCTAGACAGTGCGCATTTCTTTGTTCTTTAGGCCTTCCTAGCTGAACCTGCCCTGGCCTCTAAGCCAGTTTCCGGCTTCTATCCTGTCTTTGCTAGGGAGCCATCTCTTCTCAGCTACCAATTTCCCAACCGCTTATCAGTGAAGATAGAAGTTCAGTTTAAAAGGCTCTAGAAAGCTTAATTATTACTACAATGGCAAAACAACTATTGCTCCTTTCCTCCGGAATAGACCTTTCAAAAACATTCACGGAGAATATACAGCTGTGGCTTCAAAGTAACCACAGGCTTCCTTCCCACTCTCAGCCAATGTTCAGCTTTCCCAATTGCTGATCCCAAGGTACGTGAGCTGAGTTTCGTCCCTTCGTTCTCCTTTTCCTGTACTTCTAAGGGCTGCTACTCAGTTTCCCCCTGAGATTCAACACTAATCAGAGAGAAAGGTGAAGTGGTTGAGGCACCGCATCTCTGGTATGTAAGGAAAAAACATTTGGAGAGAATTTTCACATGTGCATTCTTTACAAAAGCTGAGAGCCAGGTGTGCTGGCATGTGCCTTTAATCCTAGCACTTGGAGGGCAGAGGCAGGTGGAGCTCTGGGTTCAGAGCCAGCCTGGTCTGTAGAGCAGGTTCTAGGCTAGCCAGGGCTACACAGAGGAACCCTGTCTCAAAACAACAACAAAGGGGGCTGGAGAGGTGGCTCAAAGGTTAAGAGCACTGGCTACTCATCCAGAGGTTCTGAGTTCAATTCCTAGTAACCACACAGTGGCTCACAACCATCTGTAATGAGATCTGGTACCCTCTTCTGGCCTGCACACATACATGTAGGCAGAACACTGTATACATAATTAATAAATAAATTAAAAACAACAAAGAGGGGAAAAAGAGGGTGGCAACCAGCCAAGAACCCCATGACCCTTTTTGCAGTGCATAAAGAACATAGGAACGGACTCTGAAAACTGTCCATCCTGCATCATTTTTCAGACACAGACAAAAATCAAACAAAAACCCAGAAAGTAACGAACTGGCTTAATGGGCATATATAGTTGCTGGGAAACCCAGAGTGCAAATCCCAGGTTATGTGACCAGAAGTTTAGCATGTTCGGCTCTGCCAAATGGGCCTCACCCATCTCTTAGTTCCTTTCTCATTGCTGTGGCAGAAATGCCTGGCAAAGCAAGTCTTTCTTTGGCTCCCAGTTGGAGGGCACACTCCATCACAACGGGGAAGGCATGGTGACAAGGGCACCTCTAGTTGTGGGTGCAGAGGCCTGCATCGCATCTGCAGTCAGAAAGGAAAAAGGTAAGCGCTGTCTTTGGCTCCCTCTCTTCTTTCGATCAGGTCCAGGATCTCAGCCCACGGAATGGTACCAGTTGCGTTCAGTGTGGGTCTCTTTCCGTCCTCCATCCTTTCTATACCCCACCCCCACTCAGGTGGTGGAGACAGAAGGATCAGAAGTTCCAGGTCAGCCTGGTGGTGGCGCACACCTTTAATCCCAGCACTTGGGAGGCAGAGGCAGATGGATCTCTGTGAGTTCGAGGCCAGCCTGGTCTACAGAGTTCTAGGACAGCCAGAGAGCACAGAGAAATCCTGTCTCACTGCCTGCCTCCTCGCCCTCAAAAAAAAACCCAACCAAACAAAAAACTCCAAACAAAATGAGAGAGATTTATAATTAACTTTCATTTGCCCCCAGACTAGAGCACCCAAAACCGCTGTGTAGATTCATGTTCACAAGTAAAATGAGTTGTTTTGGTTTTGTTCTTGTTTTTGAGCTACTGACATAGACGTCGATGGCTCCAGACATCCAGCTGCATTTTGCCTAAGTCAGTAACTGCATACCTAGCAGGATCCTGTTTTATATGGCTCTGAAGCTATAGCACCCCCTAGTGTCAGAGCAGCGAAGGTGCCACTGGCTCACAAAGCACAAGGCCCCAAACTGACCAGCAAAGTTGTTTTTGTATACTCTGTCCTTGCCCTTCCTGTGGCAGCGGCGGCGGCGATGAGCTGACTCCAGCAGACTTTATCTGATCCTGGAAAAGAAGATGGCTTACTTTGCTTCAGTCTGACACAGTACAGCTGAACGGTGGCTCACTGCAAGATAGAGTCACTCCAGCTGAGTAAGGCTCAGACTCACAGAACAAATCTCATTAGACCCTTCCACTGGCTCTTCCATTTTTTTCTGTCTTTTTCCACAATCGTTATCTTTGCTTGTCAAGCACAAAACACCGAGGTGCTATTTATTCTATAGGAACAGGGCAATCCACAGAATCACTTAAAAGCATTCATGAGTACATGATCCCAATTACCGGATGGAGAGTCTTAACCTGAATCAAAGCATCCAGTATCTTCACCCGAGGTACGAGCAGGGAGGGCATGGAGACAGCGCCCATCATGCCAGCACCCAGGGACAAGGAATTTCCGAAGCTTTCAGATTTTCCGAGTAAGCAGGCCGGTCAGTTATCAAGAGATACAGCCAGACAAGAAAGGCCTCCTGAAAGTGCGCATGCTAACTATTGCCACATGTCATTCCCATAACAAGCCCTGTATCTGCTGATAGGTCGTATGTCCCCTTTGGGAGACAAAGGACACATTTGGGCAGTGTGTTCCAGAAGCACGTCAACACCCAGTGTGTATGTATTCTTGGGTGGGAAGTCTGTAAACGGCTTACTGTGGAGGGACACAGCTGCCCGTCCGGACAAACACCTTCTTTTCTTGTGTTCTTTCCTCTTTGTACTCACCTCTGGGTTTTCATGGCTTACTGTATTTGGGGGCGTTGTCATGATTTAGCGTCCACTGAAGCCCTGTGATCTGTACATTAGTGGGGGAACCAATCTATCTACATTTGAACATGGAGCCTATTGTTTCCCTACATGGCTTTCACCTGTAACATACTCCAGCCCATCAAAGGAGGAGGGCCTAGGAACCCATAAGGTAGACACAACCTGCACTCTGTCATCTTCTACTACCTTGTTTATCTTGTTGTTTGTTTTTTTTTTCATTTGTTTTGTTTTTCAAGACAGGGTAAAAGCAGAGGTAGGATGGGGGTCTCAGAAAACCAGGCCCTCACACATAAGCTTGGCAAATGGTACAGTGAGCATGGAAATCAGAAACGCAGCCACACACAGTACAAGGAACGGTTTCTAATCTTTCCAAGGAAACTGGACCACAAGACTCCTGCAGGCAGGCCTTCCCACCCGCCCTCCATTGGACTCTGTAATCTACAAGCCCCGCTCCATCCTCCAAGCACTCCCCCACTTCCCCCATCCCCCACCTCTCTCACCCTCCCATTCCCGAGACCTCAGCGGCCCCCTGAGACACAGACTCTGCCAGCTCTTTGGACAAAGAGAGCCTTCATCCAGTAACTGATGGAAGCAGATGCAGAGATCCACAGCCAAGCACCAGGCCGAGCTCTGGGAACCCAGTAGAAGAAAGGGAAGAGTGATTCTATGAGCAAGGGGGGGTCAAGATCATGATGGGGAAATCTACAGAGACAGCTGAACCAAGCCCGTGGGAACTCACAAACTTTAGACCAAGAGCTGTGGAGCCTGCATGGGACCAGACTAAGTCCTCTACATAAGCGAGACAGTTGTGTAGCTTGGTCTGCTTAAGGTGCCCCCTTGGCAATAGGATCAAGATCCATCCCTGGTGCATGGGCTGGGTTTTTGGAGCCCACTACCTATGCTCGGACACCTTGTTCAGCCTTGATGCAGAGAGGAGGGGCTTGGTCCTGCCTCAACTGAATGTACCAGGCTTTGTTGACAACCCATGGGAGGACTTACCCTTTTGGAGGAGGGGAGAAAGGGGTGGGGGGGATGGGGGGAGTGGGAGGAGGGATGAGAGGGGGATCTGTGGTTGGTATGTAAAATGACTAAAAAATTCTTAAATTAAAAAAAAACAAAAAAGAGCTGAGCAATGTTAATACTCAAAAATAGAGGTAGGATGGGGGTCTCAAAAAACCAGGCCCTCAACCATAAACTTGGCAAATGGTACAGTGAGCATGGAAATCAGAAACATAGCCACACACAATACAAGGAACGGTTTCTAATCTTTCCAAGGAAACTGGACCACAGCTCCCTATCCTGAACAGCAGGTGGTCATCTGATCTGCTGGTCTACAGGAACTGGCTGGTGCAGAGCTCACAATTCCAGGGCCTGGCCCCATTTCACTGTGGAAGTTCAAAATGGCACAACCGCTCTTCATGTGCCCTGGCTTCAGCAGAAGTCATGTTGTCATAGAAATGTGTGGACTGTATTCAGCTGGGTCCCTGCAAGTTAAAAAAAAAAAAACCCATACAGCCTACGTTCATTTCCCAAATCTAGTTTGTGTCGAGATACAGAGTCTTCACAGGAGTCAACGACAGACTGGGTAGACTTATTGTGGACTTCATATGGAGCTCAACTTCTAAATGAGACAATTTCTCTATTAGAGTGTTGATTAGACCCTTGAAACTCATTCTCCTGAATTCTCTTTTCCTTGGTTTTCTAGCCACTCATAAATTCCCCATGCTCTTATAAGTAACCCAATTAAGCTCACGTCACCAAACCAGACTTGGATGGAATCCTTCTTTGTCCAGTTGTTGCGCTCTATGTGTGACAAATTGTCCTTTGGTCACATCTCCCCAGAAGATGTTAGTACAACAAGCACCGTTCCATCAGCCATCCTGCTGACTGGACAGCCCATCCGACAAGATGCATGGTACTGAGAAGCTGCATGGCAAGAGAGTCGAGACCAAACAGGAGCTTGAAGCTACTCGGAGAGTGCCTATGGAAAAGCTCCCTCGTGTCCATGTGCCGCACCCACAGCAAATTGGCTAACAAAAGACTAGTACCAGAACTTTACCAAAAGCGCCAACTAGCTGAGCCAGTTTATCAGCAGATAAAGGCACTTGGTGCAACAGGCTGAGAACCTGAGTGTGAACTTCAGAACCCACTGAAAGGAAAGGAAAGAAAAGGCTCCACAAATCTGTCCTCTGGACTCCACGTGCCCACCA